GGCGCGGCCGGTTCCCGCCGGAAGCGGTGGCCCGCCGGGCGCTCCGGGACGGGCAGGGTGTGGCGAGGTACCTACCACTTCGTCCTGATGCGGGCGGCGCCCGGGCAGACTCTGCCTGGCCTACGCCATTTTGATCGCTGGCCGGCGCCGGGGGCAGTGTCGAGTACCGCCGGGGGCTGATGCAGGGCTGCAACCCGCCAGGGGCGCCGGCTCTTACTTACTGGGGTTGGGAGCAGGCCCCTGCCCAGGGCAATGTAGCGTGCACTTCGCTCGGTTGTCGTTTGAATTAGTACTTAAAATGCTGATGAATGATGTCGGCCTAAATACACGAGGAGAATGAGGTGCTCTAGTGAGAGGTCAGGGCTTCTTGATGGGGCTGGAGTCGCCTTGTTGATTTGACATAAGACTGGTGCACACACTGGCGTTGTCTCTGTTTCGTAAGGCTCAGCCAGCGGCATCGTGGAATTATACTACAACAGAAAACTTTAAATAGTTACTGTAAAATCCACATATCGTGCCAAGAAAAAAACCACCACAATCTTAGCATGCTTTTTAAATGCGAATCACGAGGTTAATATTTTAACTATTAATATTTTATTTTTTTGCTAGGCAATGAGACAGCAGAATAAAAGATTTATTTTTTAAAAAATATGTAACACCCCTCCAACTACCTGTATACTTAAGATGCCTTTTTTCTCTTGCAATACTACTGTCATAAGCAGTAGTACTTCTAGAAGAATGGGCGATACAATAAAGAAATATAGCTAGGGTTCTAGGCTCTTATCTGCAAGCAAAGATTAGGAGATGGTTGCATTCATGTAGGAAGTTGTCGGGTGCATTCATTCAGTGTTGAATTAGCTTGTTTCATGATAGCCTGAGTCATGTGTTAGCTTACTGAAGAGTAAAATTTTTGAATCTTGAAAGCCATTCATCACTGCTGGTTCTTGGGTGTAATAAGCAAGCTCAACTTGAGCTTTTCCATAGCTTAATTTTTTTTTGTTGTCTGAAACAAACCACATTTAATAAGTTATCTTTAATGGACTGCTACATTCATTTACTCTACATGGTGCGGAGTGAGAGACCTTATTGGAATGTGTATATTTTAAGTATTGTGTGTGACAAAGTCATGTGTTTCTTTGGCTTGTTGAGTTGGTAGTTTTAAATATATGCTACATGGTTAAAACTGAATTCTCTAAGTCAATTGAAATTGGTGCTTATAGTTAAAGGACTGAAACCTTGAGATGATGAATTTTCATTAAAAATCCTTTGGACTGAAGTTTAATAGTGGGTACATGCAGTTATTTCTACAATGCTTTTAATATGGGATTTCAAGTGGATGTGACTTGTAACTCCTTTGTTACTTAAAGCTGGTTGCATTTCTTGCTGCTTTCTGAAAGGTCTCCCGCAAACTTTAGATGTGTACTTAACATCTTGCTTCTGAGACTTGAGGGATTGTTGATTGTCTGGTAATAAGGATCTGCTGATTTCAAGTGTTGTTTACTGTTTGTTTTTAGGTATGACGGAGAGGAAGTTTTCAGTCCTGTCCAATATGTTGTACAGAAGCATTAAGGTAACGGCTCTGGAATTTTTAATTTTGTTACAACAGAAGTAATAACTACGTTTCTAGTGTTGATCAAGATAATGAAGGCTTCCATATTTTTATCTGTCAAAAGTGTGGAATGTGTGAAGTGCCAGAGGGTTGTCATCTTTGTATGGTTACTGAGTGGGACAAAAAGGAAAAACAGTTTTACAGTATGTTTCATTCTCATAGTCGCCATTAAACTGATGAGTAATTATTTGATTTTTTTTTGTGTGCTCTTCACCAAGTTAAGGTCAGCCCTTCATTTCTTTGGCTGTGGCATTTAAATACACATGAAGACTCACATGATAAATCACTTGGTGAACTTGTGCTGAATTATGCCCATTTTGGAGATGGGAAAAGTTAGCTGTCTGCCTTTGGGTGTGTGTTGGACTTAATGTGAATCTACTTACATGGCCATGTTTGAACATAATTGAGGTAATGATCCTGCAAACTGGGCAGATAGTAGTATTGCATTGTGAATAAATGCATGGCCACTCAAATATTTTTGAAATAGAAGCTTGAACGTCTCTGTTCTTCAGACATCATAGTGATTGCAAAAGGGTCCAAAACCAATTCAGGGTAATTTTTTTCCTAGGGCAGACAAAATTTCTAGTCGCTAGGTATTAAAGACAGTTCTAGACCTGTATTGTTGTATGATAAAGTTAATTTTGAGTGCTTAGTGATTATGTTTCTGACATAGTAACATGAGAGATTATGCTAGACCACAGCAAGAGACATTTTCACCTTAAAAAGATAATTTTTGTTTGATTTCAATTTTAGGTCTTTATGGAAGCACCATCAGAAGTAGAACACTTGACACAGACAAGTGGATTTTCCTGAAAGCTATGTATGTTTTGAATGATCAGTTGGTATAAATTGATAGGATAAATGAATTAGCAAAGTATATGTATGATCAAATTAGCAGCTGTGTCATTAGCTTTAAAACTGAGGTATCTTTGTATTTCAGGCGTGTTTGTCATTGTCTAGAACTGTGTAGGCTGGGGAGTTGGTCAGTAGTTTATTTGGGGCACTGTCAGAAGAGCTGGTGAAATGTGCCTATCTGAAATGTTCATACTAAATGTGATAAAGATTTCCTCAAGATGGCTTTTCATTGTGAATTTGCACTTTTTGGGAGATGAGTATAAGAAAGTGCTTAGGTGAAGAAAAAGGGGACATCTAGAGACTTGTTAATATAAACAGGCAAATATGATTCCAATTTTTTAATAAAAATGTGTATTCATTTTTAAAAGAGTATAATTGATATTCTCACCTTTTAGAAATGCTAAGAAATTACTTCAGTATCTGTATTCAATTTAATTTGACTCAGATGCTTACAACCAGTGGTTTGGAGGAAGGGGGATCCACAAGAGTAAAACTTGGTTGTTCCTAATGGGTTGTGCTATATTATGTGTGAACATTTTGTAATTGATTTTCACACTCATTTCTAGAATGGCATGAACAGTTTCTAATAATGGGAGTGTGAAGTGTCCTGGTGAAAGATTTCCTGGCAACTGAAGTGCAACAGATAGAGGTAATATTTATTGATTAAGCATCTGAAATTTTTTGTTAATTGTGATGTATACCCTTTTCAGTACATCTGTGTATGAAAGACACAAAGCTTATTTTGTGGAATACGAGTGTGTTAATTGTGTTACAGTTCCCAGTCACTGATATTTAAGTGGTGAATCATGATGAAACTGCCAAACCTGATACGTTGATGAGAAACTTCATACGGATCTGGCTACTGAGATGAAACCACTTAAATAATTATTTGAAAAGTCACTTAATCGTTCAGTCATTATGCCAGTTGGTGTTACTTGTATTGCTGTCCCCATGTACAAGCTAGATGCCACCATGCTCCGGGTTGTGAATGAATAAGGATGTTTGTTGGTGCATTATTTAAACTCACCTCTGGTCAGTGTTGACGCACGTATGTACTGTTGCAAAAGCTAGCATCTTTAATGAGCAGAGAGGGGGAAGTGTTAGATCCCTATAATTTGAGGTATCCTGTCTTAGAGTAGGTAAAAACCCAAACATTAGCCTGGTATTAAAAGTGTCCTGGTTTGGAAGTGTTACTGGTGTTTGAAAGCTAGTGATGACATTTGCATGTTGACCTTCTTGGGGCTCACTCAGATGTGAGCATTTAGGAAAAGTAATGTTAATGATTAAAGGTGGAATTTGGTGGTGAATTGTGATTAATTCTAATTATATTAAAGCTGCTTCAGCTCCAGAGCTAAACTAATTCAGAAGGGCTAGTGTAACATTATACTTGCAGCACGCAAAAAGCATGCTAGTGAATGCTTACTGTGATTGTTAGTGGCTTCTCCAAGAACTTCATTCTTACCTAAGTACCTGAGTTCAGTCGTTTTAATGAAATTCACTTTAATGGAACTGGTTCTTGAGTATCCACAGGTTGTTTTTAGCTAAGAAGTTAAAATCTAAAGTGTGAAAACAAGTTCTAATTTTCCTGTTTTATTACAACATCTGTAATTTTATTCCACTCCTTGCAAACTACCAGTAGTTTCTTTTGAAGAACAGGCTTCAGCCCACTATGTGAAGTTCACATGGGTGTGTGAAACTTCTTGTGCAGTGGTGTTGCCTATAGAATGCTGCATTGTTCAAGTAATGTATGTGGCTGATCTAGAGAGAACTTGGAAGTAGCAAGCCATGTTGGTGTAACTAACCAGTGCATTTTATGTCTTTGCAGAGATACTTGAATGCTGCTTTTCATTTGAAGGTATGAATTCCAATAAATGTTATGAATAATTAAAAGCTTGCTGTGGGACTAATGCTTAAAACCACTGGTATGTCTGATCAGAGAAGAACCTATCCCAAACTGGATTGGTTGATGAAAAACACATGTGAATCTGACTTCTGAGTTTAGATTACTCTTAACACCAGAACAAGTGTTTGAAGATAGGCTTCGTAGTCTGTTCATACCTTGAATTTCAGTAAAACTGGTTTAAATAACTAATGATAATTTTTAAACGACTGATTTACAATGCATTATTGTGAACCCCATTTATAAGCAGGAGGTGACAATGTAAACCATTGTGTTAGAAATAGCATATTTGAAGTGGAGTGGGGTTTGTATGTATCTGCATTAGGGAAAACAGGCTGAAACATTTAATGATTTATCTTGGCCTTTTTTTGAACTTTCAGTTCTAGTTCAGACATAATCTCAATTTTCCTGTTGCTTGCAAGGAGAGTGGTATGTAGAAGAATGTGGTCTGAGTGCAGATTTTTGTTTAATGCTTGCTTGTTAGTGTGTTTTAGTTTCTGGAGTTTTTAATGTTTTGACAGACTAAGAACCAGGTATCGTCTAACTCTTAGAAATGAACTTTCTGATTCTGCTAGGGGAGAGAGAATTGATTCTTGATTGGTTAGTTGCCTGTCATAATTCATTGCCAAGTTGGGCAATAGCTGGGAAAGAGAAGCAAAATGAATCTTTACTGTGGCATGACTACACTTCTAAGTTAAGTTTCAGAGAACTTGCAGAGTACTGATACTAATCCAGCACATGTTTAATAATGCAGTTAGGTCTGTATGAGAGACCACATAGATAGCAAGCTGATTTTGAGTGATGGAAGAAAACTTTTCTAAACTAATGAACATTCTCTTTTTTGGACAGGAAAGTGGTTAAAAAATGTAGGAACAATTGTTTTTAGCTTATTCAGGTATGTAATTAAAAAGCTTCTAAACATCTTATTTTAAGTCTAAAGTAACTGCTTGCAATTTAGGGAATTTTTTGTGTTATGACAGTTGTTGATATACTTTATTGATCCGTTGATACATAAGTTGGCATAGTAATTTATTCTGTACATAGTTGGAATTTGGAATGCTTGTTGCCGAAGGCACAGTGTGTGCTGATAGCTGTGCCTGACCTTGATTACCTTTCAAACCTACATGAAAAGTTTTAAATAAGTGTACATTATTACTGAAATATGTCAGAGGACTAGAGAATGCATAATTTTTGTATTGCAATCAGAAACCCTACAGAAAACCAGTACATTCCCTATTAGATTTTTCTGGTTTGCTTTTGTCTCATCTGTGATGATCCTATCCCGAACCTGAATTCCTTGCTGAAAAACAAAATACGGATCCGGAATCTGAGACGAGACCAAAAGATTTGTTTTAAACTTTCTGACAAGTATTATGATGTCTATGGGGTCTTAGTTTTTTTACAGAAATGGTAACACCATAATGTATATAAAGTGTACAATTACTTGCAAATCAAAATTTCTCCCTCAAATGAACAATTTTACTTAAACCTTGTTCTCTTTTTCCAGTGATGAGTTGGAACACTTTGTCAGTGCTGCCTGACAAATGTGGATGATCTGTAACTGGAAGGAAGTGTAACACCTGAAGAGTTTTTGTGGCTTGGAGTGGGATGCCATGCTTTTAAAAGCCTGCTGAAACAGCTGCTGCAATTTTGCTTTAGTGGATACTGTTTCCAGAAACTGCTTGTGAACCAAAATCACTGTCCCAAAACACTGAGCTGCCCTCTGTAGGAAGGATAGCAGCAATATTAGGGAAATGAGTGTTGAGCTTTCAATACATGGAAAAACCCCTGAGAGTATTTGCCCTTTTAAAATATCATAAGGGTATCCAGACTTCCTCATACTGAAGATCTGTAATAACTCAAAACAATAGAACTCAGAGGTAGGCCAGGTAAAGATAGGGAGAAAGCAAAATGGCCCACAAATTCAAACAAGTGAATCTGCTTTTTGAGGGTGGTGTCATCCTGAGGATAGGAAGTAGATGAGTTGGTGGTGGTATGGGAAGTATAAACATGAAACACTTGTAAGAAAGACACACATGTCATGAGGAAAGTTATGGTTACATAAAAGACAAGGTCTAAACCTTGCATTGATTGCTGTTGGTATCTAGAGAGGAGGTGGGGTTTTACAGACTGCCACTTTAGTGGGAAAAGATGAGTACTGCCACAGGGGAACTGCCCTTTGAGGATTATGCTGGTAATGTTACCTACTTGTGCTGTGCAGAGGAGGTCAGTAGTGGGAGAAAGGAGCACACGTGTTTCAACTTGTGCATTGAGCAGCCACTTCAGAATGAAAGGTGCTGTATCACAGTAATGATGTATTTGCTGTATTCAGCAAATTGGTACTTTTCCACAGAGGAATGAGGGATCATAAACTGGTCACCAAGTAAAGTAGATTTTAAAGGCAAATCATGTGTATAAGATGCAGTCTGCCTTAAAGTGTGGCTCTCAAACTAAACTTGTCAGGAACGCTTTATAAAGGAAGAAACACGAGAACGGCATGATACCTAGAAATTGATAGAGCTGTAGTTACTGAAGCATTTCAAAATGCACCAAAATACAGAAAACCTACCCTGTAGCCTGCAGCCAGAAATGACAGCATTGGATGGCAGCAGCTTTCTTCCTTCAGAGAGTTGGAGGAATTCCTACAGCTCAGGGGATGTGCCTGTTTTCAACAAAAAGCCCAATTTTCTATCTAAGCAGTATCATGAAATTTGAAATGCTATCAGTAGCAGTGCCTAAAGCATTAGGAATGTCAAAAGTAAGGATCTGACTGAACTCCAGAAGTGTATTTGCTCACTGAGCATCTCCTATGCTTTGGTTATTAAGCAGTAACCAGGTACTTTGGCTGAAGGCTGCTCCTTTTCAGCCTGCAACTGTGAATCTATTGAATGTCTCAGAATCTGCAGAAAGTTACTACAGAACAGCTTTCCCTTTGCTGCTTTTAACATGATTTATTATTTCTGTTAATAAATAAGGGTAGGTATTTCCATGCTTTGTACATGCTTTTTCTTGAATAAAGATGAGGATGTGGAAAAATGTAGCTGTTATGCATCAGGTCTGCGGTTGCACCACAGTGTTCCTGGACAGCTTGTACTTTGCAGGAGCCTCAGAGATGAGGTGGCCTTGTGCTGACTGGTACAGCACCCACTGGACACGTGATATTCCAGGTTGTGGTTGAGTGACTCCTGGACAACGTCAACTCTCAGTGGTTACACACTTCAGAAGTGGCAAGGGACCAGCCTCCATTTTTTGCCCACTGCAAATCTGGGTGCTGTTAGCATCTAGTGAAGCTGCTTGGCTGGTGAGTCAAAAAGTTGCCAGTATTAGCTCGGTTAGTCTGGAAGAAAAATATCCAAGACTGCAGAAACGTGTAATACAGCAGTGATACTTGGTAAGTACTTAGATACTCGGAAGGGTCTGTTACAGGGTCAGAAGAGCGTGTGGCATGTGTTTTGGATGTAAAGGTATCATCTTTTTATCCTTTGGACTGATTTCCAATATGAAAAATGGAAGCTTTTGAGGAGATACTATGAGTGTATCTAGTAAAATTGGTGGGAATGAGTTGCTCTTGTGATTTCTGGGATCAAATTAAAGTTTCAAGTTGGTGGGTGGCACTTCAGGTACCCAAAGTACTTCACATCAATCTTACTCTGTATGTTCTAAAACATTCCCTGAGGATGGCTTCTGATCCAGGATTGAAAGATAAAAGGGTGCCAGAGAATAATGTTGCTGTGTGTGTCAGATGGTGAAGGCCTGTCTCCAGGAGCAGTGTTTAATCATGAAAAACATGCACCTCTCACTTGGCATAGAAAAGGGTAGGTGTGACCAGTGATAAGGCATACTGGGTATTTAGCCGCAAGCCTTTCTGTATGAATGCTGTGCTTTAGGGCTGCAGAAGATGGGTAATAAGAATGAATATTAGTACTGTAGAAAATCTGATGGTTACAAAAATGATCAAATGCTCAAAATTAGTATTAAACCTTTGATTTAGGATTGTTTACTAAACAGCATGAAAGCATTTTTATTTTTTGTGCTTTAAATTTCTGGTGAAATCTTGCACTCTCCATCATTAGTGTTGGACTTAGAAATATCACATGGCTGTAGGGCTGTGGTCCAAGAAATGAGTGGTTAGACAAACTTTGTTCTGGAATATTGCCATGTATCCATCTTAACTGGGCAAAAAAAGCAGAGCCTTTTTTGAGTTAAATGAGTGGTGGGTTTACGAGCAAGAGGATTACCTTTCAACCACCACAAAGGTATAAGAATAGCTCTGCATAGGTGCTTTGCTACCATTTAAGTTATGTGGTCCTTGTTGAGGTGGGAGGTTTTGTCTGTTGCTGAAGAACTCGTCTTGCCAGTGGAGACTGTAGATCTATAAATGAGTTGCAAGTGAGTGAAACTAAGCTACCAGTGGTTTCCTTGCCACAGCACCATTGCATTTGCTGGTGTGAAGCCTGCTTGAAGTAACAGATCCTAGTGCACGGAAATTCGAGCATAAGCTGTACTGTCAGGCTACCATCATGCAGAGAAGCGTGCTGCCTCAGCTGCAGCTGTATTGTGTGCCAGCTTTGGGGTTGCTGCCTTCTGGTGCGGGCAAGCTCTTAATTGTATAAACTTGCCATATAAAGCTTGGGTATGTGTTTTGCCAATTAAAAAACATTAAAATTAAATAAAAGTTGGTAGAGAAAGGAACTCCTTAAGACAGCCAGACATGGGCATAGCAAAGTGTTAAGGCTTTGCCCAAGGAAAGGTCTTCTCTATATTGAAGAGTATTTAATCCTGATTTTTGGTCAGTAGTTTTTCTGTATACCCTCTCCCACAGTTCAGAGGACAAACTTGAGTTATGATCTGTGGTATGAATGAGCTTGAGATAAATGGTAATTTCAGGTGAGTGGAGTACAGATGGCCTTCATTTGCTATGTGAATGTATGTGTCCTAGGATTTGTATTCCCTGTACTTTTTTGTTACTAGAACTGGTATTACAAGCATTTTTGCTTGTCTGCCCTTGTCTGTTTCCCTTGGAAGATATAAACTGGAAAAGTAAAATTAAAATGATGAATTCCATTTTCTTTGAAATGTCATGTGGCTTTTTAGTTGATAGTCCAGTTGAGCTATCAGGGCTATGAAGACAGTACTTCTCTGCCATTGTCTCAAACTTCCTGCAGGCTCCAGAGAACAAAGTGGTGTTTGATGCTCAGAAGAATGGCTGTATTGAGTGGGACAAAGTCTGCCTTGCTCAGTATTCTGTCTGAGGATGACCAGTATAAGAAACAGGAGAAGTATAGAGAGCCTTTCCAGTAGTTTGCTTGGGAACTTCCTGATGAGATTTTCACTTGGGTTTGAATACTGCTTGGCAATTATGACCTATCTCCATATAAAAAGATGTAAAACATGAATGTTACATGGGCTGTAAAATATATGAAGTAATGTGTATGTTAGTAGCTGCATAGATGGGGGGATTGCGAGGGGGCTGAATTAAATTATTCTGTTTGAAGCTGATGTCTCTTTCAGTTCTCACATTAATGAAAACAGTAAGTGGAGCCCAGTTAAGGCCCTGGTGCTAGGCCAGCTTTACTGTTTAATTGAGCTATGTTGGAGGTGAAAATTTAAAGTACTGTTCTGTGCTTTAATCTTCAGTACCCCTGAGCTACACTTCTTCATATTTCAGGCTTCTCACCAGACCAATAACCACTATTTTTTTCCCTGTGACTGGAGTTCTCAGTAACTGAGAATGATGGTACTAGTTTTATGGTTGCAGGTGAAGAATGACTAAAACCTGTCCTAAAATAAAGTTAAGTCATTATTTTATATGTGTAAAAAAAGCTAGAAAGATGAATGGACTGAAATAAATATTTAGACCTTATTTTGAAATTGGTAAGTTGATTGAAAAGTAAAGGTTGTACTTTTAAATAACCTTAACATCACTAAAGAGGAAGAATATATAGCTACTATTAAATCGGTGTACTTCATCTTACCTTGACAAAACAGGCAATAATTTGCCCTGGCCTTAGCTGTTGTTTTTTCAGTCAGAATGAGGGATGTTGTGGATACTACAGTCTTGAAAGAAACATCTGAGTCTTTAAGTGTGTTAGCTCTGTCTAGTAGTTAGGTCGTTTTCTGCAGCAGAAAATAAATTGCTTCATCTTGTTTAAATTTCTTGCACTCCATCAGAAAAGTGCAATATTGAATCAGTGGCAGTTCTTAATGTCATTTGGACTTCCAAGTTAAACAGTTCAGAGTATGATTATTCATTCCCCAGTGTATCTTAGAATAAACATTTTCTGAAAATACGTCGTTTCTGGTTCTGAAAATTTTAAGCTACCTACTTGCTATGGCAAACAAAAGAGTTTGTGGGAATTAATTCTGCCCCCTCTTCCTGTTTTACAGATTATAAACCATATAACAGCAGGAACATCAGTTGCCTTCAGAACATCTTAAAAAAGTAATTTATAATAAACATAGTGCTGAGAATGTTCCCCCCAAAAAACCTTCATGGGGAGGATCTGGGTTTTCGAAAACATGTATTTGAAGTACTACAGTTGCCAGAATTGACCTGTCTCCATTTTACATGTATTTGAACTTGAACAAGTTACCTTGCTAGTGAAAAGTGTTCAGCATAGTTTCTGCTAATTTGACATACAGGCTGTAAGGCTGCTGAAAACCCTTTTTTCCATGTACAGGGATCTTTATATGATGACCATTTGGCAGGGTTGACTGCAAGGTGTTTTGCTGTGGTTTTGCCTTTTATTAACTGCCATGACGAGAAGACTGGAAATAGTATGAATACTTTCTCCTGGGAGTTTCTTGTAGTTTATAGGGTTTTTTAATTGGAAAAGTAAGAGTGAACAATTTCAGCAACTGCTAGATAATTTTCTATAAAAATGCAACCCCATTTTGAGCCATGCTGAATATGGGAAAGTCCAAAGCTTTTAGCTTACAAATATGAAGGAAGATGGTTTGCTGGGAGTTCCACAGATTTAGAGAGACCTCACTTCTTGTTGTGAGGATGCAAAATTACCAAGAACTGAAGACCACTTGTGCTACTGCATGGTATGGTGGCAGGAGGAGAAACATGCCTTTAGATGTTCTCCCCCTAGTTCTGAAGATATGCTTCTTAAAGAACACATAAACCTCTTAGAATTGTCTGAATGTGGCAGCCTGTGGTCCTCTTGACTTAACATAGGAAATAGTGTTGTAAGGAAGGAGATGTCTCTGCATATAAGACTGTCAATCAGAATATCTGGATATTAGACTTTAAGTGTGAATGGAGTCTTAGAATCTTGGAGTAAAAAGTCAGATACTTATTAAATGAAAGATCTTCCACCAAAAGAATAAAAAATAGAAGTTATTGTGAAGGAACATTTTTTTTTTTTTGTGCTGAAAATCCACACTGCTTTCTGCTGTGATACCAGCCTAACTTCCTCCCCTCAGAAATTAAATGCCTTGTAGTGCTCCCAGTCTCTGGCCTGAGGGCAGCAGTTCTGAGGCTGTGACATGCTGTTGGTGATGTCATACTTTGGCCCTTTTGATTTCAAGTTTTAAGTTATTCTACCGTGATTATGTGGAGGGTCTTGTGAGCAATATGTCATTATTGGGCTGTGGTGTAAGGACCATTGTCTTCCTGATGGCTGTTACATGACTGCACTAACTTTCAAGTGAAAAAGTCACTTAGCTTTTGTTGGGGTTGAAAATTGACAGTGACCAAGATGGATGCCTATAATGAGACTTACTTACATGTAAGAAAAGAAAACACTCTACCAAGAAGAGATATTCTGCTATTTTGAGGTAGTGCTTCTGGAGGTGTTTTGCCTCTTGGTCTTATTCTGCTTCTTTTCCCCAAAGGCTAATTTGGGTTTTCTAGTTGTGATTTTTTTTCATTGAAGTGTGACCAGGAAATCTTAATGTATTGTTGATTCTCAACTAGGAAAACACTTTTAAATTCACAAAAAGGAGTATGCATATTTGGTGTTCCCTGAAGTTATGATTTCTAGAAAGAGCAGGTCATCTGTGGAAGCTTGTGCTGTCTCCCAGTGTGAGCTTTCTTACTCTGGACCAAGGTTGGGACCTTAGTAACCAAATCTATTGTGTAGTCCTCAGCTCTGTCCTGATCTCAAAGAATCCTTTTCCTCCTCTGTACTAGTCCTGTATTGCTTTTCCCAGAATAGATATGCATGAAACATCCCAAGAACCAAGGCAGAAATAAAAAATTACAAAAGGCTACTACATATCCGTTCAGTATTGATCTCAGAGGGGCTGTAAGAGCAATAGTATATGAAACTTTAGTGAAGGGAAATAAAAAAAAGCCTCTGGGAATTTTTTTCTCTGGGACTCAATGATATCATAATGAAATTCAAGCACCTGTTGAGTTGTAAAAACAAGACCAGTTCCTGCAATTGATGTGATTTGACAGCTATGATTTGTTCTTCACGAATTGGGGACAGAGCCTGCAAATAAGTCACTGATTAGCTAAATTGCAAATCTATCAGGAATGGCAGCTAGCTGCATTTCAGGCTGGGTCAGATGCGGAAGGGAAATATTTCCCTCCACACTTCTGTGTTGATACTGGTTTCTCTGTGCTGGAAAGTTCCAGGCCAATAAAGTAGGAGTTGGATGGTAATCATTAAGTGAAGAGATTTCCTACTCAGAATTAATAGAACAGGACTGAAAATCAACTGTACTTCTTTGTATACTCAGAAGAATCGTAACCATTTTTCTTGTTCAGAAAGATCTCGGCTCTGTTGAACTTGCTTTTTTCTCATGGATTATTTTGAAGGCTGGCTAGGAAACAGGCATGTCAGATTCATTAAAAAGGCAGAAATGAACTTCTGTGAAGATTATAGCCTTTTCTATAGCAGCAGCAAAAAGAAGTATCAGCAGAATTGGCATCTGGCCCTGGGAGCAAATATTCTGAGCTTCTGCTAGAGCTTCCAATAGAAGCATGATGAAGAGGTTTTAAAAAAAAAAATCCCTGCGCTGTCTTTATTTCATATATGGTCTGATCCTGCCTCTCAAATTTGATTAAGATAATACAGAAAATGTTCTGTCTTGGGTCAAGCTACAGAAAGTTATCCATGATATTTGCTTTCTGTGGTTGGCTGAGTCTCCCTTTTTACTAGGATTTAACTTTAATATAAATTTAGTAATCTTTTCTGGGGAGCACTGACTGATTGCTTGATAAGAAATCTGACTAGCAATCCGGGAGTCAAAGCCCCTGAGAGGAAATGTATATGTGTTATCAGCCTGAGGGTGGAAGAACCCATCTGTGTTACCTGAGCTGAGCTACAGAAAGCAGGTGAACTGCTAACCTGGAAATGTCTCATGTTTGTTTTTGAAAGGTATTCACATCAAATGTACATAGTTGGTAAAAGTTTCTACCTTAATAGCCCTCCTTTCTCATTCCTGGTTCTAATTTTTTTCCACTGTGTGCTTAGACTGGAGGAGTTCATAACATTTTCAGACTAAAAGATTCTTCTGCATGTTCCTTACCGCCTCTTGGACACAGCAGATCTGTATCAATACTGTTGATCTGAAATTGGTTAACAGTTTTCATGCATCAAATTTACTAACCAGGCCTGACCTTTTAGTAGAAGTTTAAAGGGGCTAAAAATAAATGTTGGCACTAAATTATAAACATTTAGTATACATGAGAAGAATTTTTTTGTAACTTTTCATGGAAGAGACATAATGCCATTGCTGTGGATGTGGCAGTAAAATCTAAAAGCACCTGAAGGAATGGTGTGAAAGAATTTAGAAACTCCTGCAGTCAACTGTCATCAGAGATTTTTTTAAACATTTTTTCATGAGCATGCTCAGATACCTATATTGATCCTGCTAGAACTAAGAATTGATGTATTGGCAGTAACAATGTATATTCTCACACAGTTTCATTGATTCCTTTTGCTGTTCTATATACACGGCTCCAAAGATTGCTATTCATTGGTATGTAACTCCAGTTGGAGAACACCAAGAGCTACTAGAAGAGTTTTGGTTGATTTGAAGGTGGCATCAATAAACAAGTTCACAGGTTTATCAGCCATGTATTTATTCATAAACTGATAAAAGATTTTTTTTAAAATTGACCCTGATAGATTTAAGTTTTCAGAATTAAACTTTCTTGTAATTGTTCTTACTTGCTGCTACTTTTAAGATCTAAATTTTGAAAAAGAAAAAACAACTCTATCTTTTTACAGGATCAGAGACAGTTCTAAGTTTATTTTCTGAAGGCAGATTGAAAGCATAATGTTCTTTGTATGTCCTTGATCACAGAATATCAATTTATTTTTTCTTGTGCCTAGTTGCTAGGTAAAATTAAAACTTTGCTTCCCTAAAGAACTAAATTATTACTTCTAGCAGCATAATGCAGCTGTATTAATTGTACCATATTAAATTACAAATTTGTTCAGGTTTGAGAACAGGTTATGTTGCTTGCACTGCCCTGTGCTAAACAATTAAGAGATAGCTTGTTAGTGCTACGCAAGCTGGAAAGGGTAAACTTACACATCCATGCTGAAGCTCTGTATTAGCTTAAGAACTAATTCTAGTATCTCTCAAGACCCATGTACAAGTATAGAGTAGATCTTCCAAGACTACTGAAAAGCAGCAAGCAAAGCCTGAGATACTGATAGTACTAGTTCCTCATCCTTGTGCTCTCGTCTGGAGTTTATGCTGTAAATGAGAACTCCTAGATGCCTAGGTATGCCACACTTTTTTTTTTTTTTAAAGTCATATACAAAGGGTTGTATTGTCTGTTCTTTGCATAAATGCAGCATTACTGTAGTCGCTTCTGCCTTGTACCTGGCAAGGATTATAAAAAGGGGGGGAGGGGAGATTGTTTTATTCTTACAAGGACCTTGAAGACACAAGGTTATTTGGGTTCACCCATGCTTGAAAGGATTTTTAGGTTGTTTGGTGACATGTTAAGTAGTCTGGAACACTTATCCTGAAAGCTCTGTATTGCAGCTGCTGCATCATGCACTCTTCTTCCTGAGTAATCAGCAGTGTCATTACTAGCCACCTAAATAGGCCAGGGACACAAATCCAATCACTGGCAACTGATCATCCATGCTGGTTAAGGGTTAATACAGTCTCTGACAACTGATACCTGGGCCAGCTAGCAGAGTCTTGTATGTAATATTTGGGCATGGTTTAGAGGTCAAGGTAGATGAGAGCTTAGCTATGTCAATGCAAGCTGTACTGTCCACATTTGCCTTGTGGCTGGAGAACTGCCCATGACCTGCTCCATCTCCCTGCCTGTGGCCACTACGTCTGCAGAGTGCTGTGCTCTCCTGGGAAAGATGCCCAGACCTGGGGGAGAATATTCTGCAACATAATGACATACTGTCTGCTTTTGGAGATAGGCTTAATGCACAAAATAACTCACGTGGGGTTAGATAATCCTGAGGGTCCTTTTTGTTCCATCCTTCAGTTGGCTTTTATAAGTATGCCAAGTACTGGAATTCCAACAGCAGCGAGTTGGGACAGGGAGATGATCAGGGACAGCTGTACAGGGTTATAGGAGCAGGGCTGGATGAGTACCTGGAGCAGAGGAAGATCTAAATAGAGCAGTTGGTTCTGCATTGACACTTGGGGCTCAGTGAGTTGCAGCTTCAGCACTTGGCTATGTTGCACTGCGCAAGTGGACAGGCTAGTACTACTGTCCTGAGATGACTTTGAGATGTTTTGAAGATGGATACCAATGAGGAACGCTTTGCGGTTCTCTTCTGTGAGTCCTTCTCATAAGGCAGAACGCACTACGATGTGGAGGAATCTGTTTTCTCCAGCCCCTCCATGCCAAATGTTGTAGGGCGATGACAACTCTTGTTATTTCTTTGCTGAATATATGGTCTTCTCTTTCTGTGGAGCTTTGCCAGGTGCTGGCCTAATGGTAATGCTCCTCTGTGTAAGAGATTAAAAGCATCAGATGCTAAGGAGAATGGGACAGAAAAGGCAGTAGTATTTGTGTCCTAACTCTTGCTTTCATACCTACAGCAATAGTAAAGCAGGTTGTTTTTTTTTTTTTCTCCTTCAGATTGGGAAGCCTCATCACGTGGTTCCCTCACCCTTGATAAGTTTGTCAGCTATTTGTATAAGAAGCCTGTGGTTTATAGTGAGATGAAGAACATGTGATTAGAGGGAATCTGGAGGAAGAGGAACATTTGCACATATACTTCTGTAGGAAGTGGGAAGGGTTTGGGATGAAAGGAACACATCAGTGATTGCATGTTCTGCTTGCTGCAATGACAGGGTATTGTACCATCAGACTGAAGAGTTAAGACCAACGCTCAGTCTCCAGTAGTGGGTATTAGCTAACAGGAAAGTGCAAAGACAGGGCAAGCATAGATACGATAGTACTTTCTGGTATGCTTCCCCAGCCTCTGCTAATTTTTTTTTTCAGACTTTAAATTGGAGTGGTATTTCTGCATTTAATAGGTGGGAGTTTCTTCCATCAATTTGGCTAGTTTCTTTTGGGATTTATGGAAATACCTACAGCTTTATGTGATAATAAATTCCTCAGCTTATTTGCATGTGTGTCAAAGCAGCTCTTTTGCTTTGCTATGTGCCAGTTTGATTTGGTGCCTTCTTGTTCTTCCATTGGAAGAAAGAGTGAACAGTTACTCTCTAGTTTTCTCCATGCCACTTCTGACTTTGTAGGCCAGTGTTACATTCCCTCATTTGTCCCCTGTCCATGTTGAAGGTGTAGGTTCTGAATAACTCCTAACACCGCTTTTTTGCCAGTAAGCATAGGGCATTTATAGTTTTGTTACAAGGCTGGGCATCTGGTTTCTGAGTGATAATAATCAGTTTGGGATGGCTTTGAGTTGGCATTTCCACACACACGGAAGTGACTTCACTTTTTTGTGTGCATGCAAAAATGGAGTGCTTTCCTCCTCCACTCCTCTTAAAATACTTAGTACACATTAACTTATAGTGTACTGCAAAATACATTAAACTCTACAATGATTGCTCTGAAGCCATGGCTGATAAACTACTGTTTTAAAATCCTCTAACTTAAATCAGAAAAAAGCTATTAATGGACTGTGAACTAAACTACCTTCTGCTGCTTCTGTTGTGCACTTCTCTGACAATGTCAGCTCTGGAGTGTTTGATGGGGAGGGGATGTTTACTGGAAAAGGAAAAGAGCAGTGATTGGTATTAGAAAGGACTTAGATACTTTGGAGAAATAAGCAGTCCAATACCCTCTCTTTCACTGGCACAGTTGCTATAGCACAGTCATAAAGCAAAAGGGAGAGAAGCAGTTCAGAAAGATGTTTCAAGACCTTCAGTCTATATATAAAATTCGACACCAAAAGAATTTCTGGAAGAGCCCCATTGCTCCTCATTGCCAGGCTTGTTCTCTGCCTGCAACTATCTGGGCAAATTTTAGCAGAATGCAGGTGATTTCAACCTCAAAAGCCCTGAAATGTATGGAGTCAAGTCTCTAGGAGCAGATTCATCTTCCATCTTGCAGAACTGGAAGAATTAAAAATTAATGACAAAATAGTTACTTCAGATTTTGGAATTAGGCAAAATAAAGTCTTTCCAAATCTCAAGAAAGAAATATCAATGAGTCAGTGGATAGAATTGTAAAGATCGGGCTAACTAACCATATCACAGAATCCTTCCGTCTGTTCAGGCAGGGCCACGCAAAGATGGTTGCCCGGGACCATGCCCAGATGGCTTCTGAATATCTCCAAGGATGGAGGCTCCACAACCTCACTGGGCAACCTGTGCCAGTGCTTGGTCACCCTCACAGTGAAAAGGTGCATCCTGATCTTCAGAGGGAACCCCCTGTGTTTCAGTTTGTACCCACTGCCTCCAATCCTGTGAACCATAATCGCTGGATTTGAAAACACTTTTCTTTGCTGGTTTTCTTTTGCTGACTTAGTTGGAAGAAGTGTTTGAAGAGTTGGCAGGGTCAAAATTGGAGTGTTAGAAATTGTTTAAATAAATGGGGGTAAAAGCTTGATTTTGTTTTAATTAGTATAACCCCTGCCTAGTTTTGGAAAAGAGAAGATGCACAAAGGATACAACTGGAAAAGAATGTTAAAAGACACTATTACCATTACTGAAGTTTAGTCTTTCTTTGCTGAAATCCTGTTACAACTTTGAATTGTAAGTTATCTTTTAGAATGGAAGAACTCTCAAATCTGCATCTTAAAAATGTAAGACTGAGTAACTCAGTCATATTTTAGAAGCTTTCTCCTGAATAAAACTTTCATAGATCTGATTCATCATCTTTTGGTTAATTTCTGACTTGTGTTTTTCTCTTAATAGGCATGGGCCTTATATTCTGTAACTTAACACATCTTTAAGGATATAGAGCCTCTCATTGAATGAATAGACTTTTAATTAAACAGGTATTTCCTCAAATAGTCTTATTTTGCCAAGGATCTCTCAGAGTGAATAGCCCAGTGGCCAGCTGTGCACTACATGGAATAAACTGCAGACTACAGTCCTTTCCCAAAGTAGATACCCTTGTAATAAGCAGTTGTATTAATAACTTGGCAGTCTTACTAAGAAGGCTAAGGGCTAGGAATGGGTTGGAAAACGTATTGCTGAGAAACCCCAAAAGTGGCTGAATCATTTCAGAATTGTTTCTGTGGCAGATGTAGCACTGGGGGCTTGTTTTGTTGTCACAAGCAGTGACATCTGCTTTATGGTCATAGTTATCTGCCCCTCTAATGCTGTTGTAGCTGGTGGGTTTTATAGCTCAAGTATAGCTAATTATATATATAGCTTAAGCCTAAATTTCCACTGTGTGCACACTTGGGACAGGCTAAGGCTGTGCAGTCTTAACAGGCATCATAGAAACTGAAGGTAAAATTCTTGAGTCCCCTAGATTTTCATTCTTTGTTTAGGGTATAATTCCTTAACTGTACATAAGTAGCTCAAAAGCAAAAATAGACTTTTATAGTCAAATTAAATTTATTTTTCACTGCTTTATCCATGCAGCTCTGTAGTTGGTCCTATTATAATAATTGGTTTTACTGTGGATGTGCTGGGGAGGCTTGGGTGTTCAGCTGTTGCCTTCAGTGAGGCTCTACAGTGGTTACAGTTGGGACTAGAAGCAGGCAGGCATTTCGTATTCCAGGAAAATTTAGGAATTAACACAACTTTCATTATGTTGAGAAGTTGTCAAACTTTCAGTGAAATTCCTCGTGTAACTCCAAGCCACCAGGTAAGTGCCTGCAAATGTTCTTGGCAGGGAATTTTTTCAGCAGATGTTCTATGTGATGCAAAAAAAACCAACCCCAAACCCAACAAATTTTATGATTCCATGGATCTCTTCCTGGGCATACCACTTTTATCTTTGTTCTACTGATACTAGGGCTAATAACTGAGCTGTATTTAGAGGAACTGCATGTCAGACTCTTTGTTTCCTCCTTTCTACCTACAATTTCAAAGGATCAAATAGCTGCAACTCTGACTGTGGGTCACCTGTGATTTTAAATAAGGGTGCAAATCTGTTCACTGCATTTATCCTAGTCTTTTTATTGTTTTTAATTCCATTTTATGGAGGAAAAGGAAAGTGCATTAGAAGTTTTCCCTCTAAAAATGGGCCTGAAAGTGGGAATTACTTTCTCAGAAGTTTGCCACCTGTAGTTATTCAGATCTACCAAGAATTTGAATGAAGCATTTTTCACTGTTCTCATTAGTTCCAGAGAACAAATCCATTTGTGAAATTTAGCTATTACTCTGGCTCACATCTGTATT